CGAAGGGCCGATCCCGAAAAGCGGACCGACAATCAACGCACCAGCGAACAGCAAATCTAACCGAAATTCAAAGGCCTTCTGTGACAGGTCTATGGAAGCTCCCACACTGGTGTTTGGTTCACGCTCCCGCGTTGGATTTACGCCCCGCTGCCTTGCAGGTCAGACTCTTGGGTCAAAAGCTCCGGTTAGGGTTCCCAAAGAAAAACCCCTTCGTTGGTGTGGGCTACCGCGAGGTATGTCGCCGTAAAGTCTAAGGCACCCATTTGAATAACCACCCCATCTGTCTAGTTCTCCTCAACCCCGAATAATCCCAGATGCCTCCTATTTACACCATCCATCGNTCACTCAGCGTTTTACCATCAAGGCCAGAGATTCAGAAGCTATAGGATTTTTAAAGCCAAAATCCCCTATTCACTTGGCCGCGTTCAATGTCCGCATGCTCTATCAGATTGGCCAACAAGCTGTCCTGGCTAGAACCCTCGAAACTTTCAATGTAGATGTATGTTGTGTCTCCGAAACACGCATACAAGACCCTCATTATCTCTCTGAGTTCTCCTGATCCAACCTCACGCTTCACCCTTCGTGTGTCAGGTGATTCGGCGTCCGAAGCTCGCGGTGTTGCTGCCGTCGGGATTGCGCTAAGTGCCAAGGCTGAACGCTCGCTTCTTGGCTGGACACGGACCATGCTCTGCTACGAGCGAGATTCTCTCTACGCCTAGTAAACAAACGCAGAAAAGCCACCGAAAACGGATGCCCATGACACAATGTCATCAATGGTTGCAAATCGGCCTTCGAAGCGGAACTATCAGATCGTCTCTCAGCACAACCATCAGCCGGAGGATTCAGTGAGCATTAGACGGCAGTCAAGGAGGCGATTGAAGTGTCAATTGAAACAACAGAATATTCAAACTCATGAACAAATAAAAGGCGATGGATCTCCCCGTCTTCGGTTGCCCTGCTGGACCCTCGCAAAGCCATTCCTTCGGATTCAAACTACGACAAAGCGCGCAAATCCGTTAAACGCCAGCTCATAAAGAGTCTGAGGAATGACCGCGAGAAGTGTTGGGTATGAAAATTTAGAGAGATGGAGAAGGCTATGACTATCGGTAATAGTCGCAATCTTTTCCGATTAATTAGAAGTACAGGTCCAAGGAAAGCAGGTGCGAGGTAAATAAGGCGTCCAACGGTACACTGATCCATATTCAGCAACGCCGCCTAGATCGATGGGCTCAGTTCAGCTAGCGCTCGTCAGGACAAAACCTCCCTACACCCGATTCAACTCAAATGGACCTCATCGCT